AGCAACAAAATAATTTCTAGTTTAACAATTTTAAATTAAAATTTGTTACGTTGGCAACGACGCATCCGTCAAATGTCAAACACTGAAAAATTTATACCTTGCCTATTAATTATTGACGATGCAAAATCGACTGAATTTCTTAAAAAATTTTGTATTTTATTATTATTTATTTATTTATTTTATATATTTTATTTATTTTTCTTATTGTACAATGACTGTTATATAAAAATAAATAAATATTTGTTAACAATTATTAATTATTATTGTGTAATTCTTTCTTAATAAAAAATCAATTCGGTTTAAAATTTTAAAGTTAAAAATTTTCTTTTTTAAATTTGCGACATCTGGCGATTTTTAAGTGTCAAATAATTTAGCGATTTCTAGCGACTTTTGATTCAAAAGTTTTGAAGAGCTTGGTTGAGAATTTTTACAATGGACTGTTGGCAACACTGAAAGTGGTACAAAAATTTAAGCACAAATATCCCAATAAAAGCTTGAAAGTAGCTTTTAATACAGTATGTGCTCAGTTTAATAAAAACGAGTTGTATATGGATTCTGAGGCAAGTTGACATTTAACTGTGCATGGATATCAGATGTTTGTGATAGTGTTGATCAGATGTTTTTGATAGTGACAGCAAACAATCATAAACTTATTGTAACTTATTTTGGTGATGTCAATATAAGAACAACCGTTATTAAATGTTCTTATGACTATAAAGAGAGCTATGTATGTTCCTAAGTTGACAACTAATATCCGTATTCCAACAATGAACTCATTGTTCAGGTTGTTAGGAACTAGTGATTGGCCGATTTCAATATTCACTGTGATTTGAACCAATCGGGTTTTAAATTGGAAGAAGGCGACTATAAAATTGGTAAAAAGTGAGGTTAATCATTCAACAGATGTCAGATTTAATTTATTTAGTTTTGAAATTCATTTAATTATTTACTTATTGGAGTTGATGCCGCCGATACGAGAGATTCTTGCCTCTCGACTCGTCTGGTCTCGTCTCGACAAGACGAGAGGGCGATTTTCTGTCGAAAAAAGGCTCGAGACGAGACGAAAGAATGCCCTTTCTCGCTCGAGAATTTCTAGTTTCTCTCGATCTCTCTCGTTCTCTCGATTTTTCCGGTAATAAGTAAACAATTTTTTGTACATAAAAATTATAATTTTGCACATAAATGACGAGGTTTATTTGGTTCAGAAATATATATTTAAACTTTCCAAGCACTTATAATGATTTTAGAAAGAATAATTTAATTCCTCACTTCTACTAAGGGATTTCCCCTAATGGGTCATTCAAGTATTACGTAACGCTAGACGGGGGAGAGGGGGTCAGCACGAACGTTACGGTTTGTTACTGTGGGAAAGGGGGGCGTCCCGTTACGCAATTTTTCTTTAATTTTTTCCAATTAATTTTCATTAATTTTATTTCTCAGCATTATTATTATTATTATTATTATGTACTCTCAAGGGGCTATGCACGCACAGTTCAGAGCACCTAGCCGATGAGACTCTTGTACTCTATCCCCCCCGCATTACCTTAGGGCTGCCGAAGATATTGTCCTTCTTTGCAGAAGTCTAATATCTGTCCCACACTTAGCTCCCTAACCTGCTCCGCATGGATCTCCGTCTGCCCAAACACCGCGAATCTGGTCCTCGCTAGTGCTACACATTTGCACAAAAAGTGCTGGGAGTCTTCAATCTCCTCCTCGCATCTTTCACATCGTGGAGATGTTGTCTTTCCTATCACGTATCTGTGCTTGTTCAGATTGTTGTGGCCGGAAACGATTTCCACAATAGCCCTTATTTTTGGTCTGCTCAGCTTCAGGAGCTCTACCGACCAGGTTTCTACACCGCTGCCCATAAGGGTCTTGCCTGTGTTGCATCCCGGGCTTTGCTGCCACTCTCTCGCCTGTTGGCGCTTTGTCCATGCTTTAATGAGGTTTACGCCCTCCCTGAACGGCATGCCCACTACCTTCTCTTGAGGACCACATAGAGTGGTGCCCTCCTTTGCTAATCTATCGGCTCTTTCGTTGCCTTTCCATCCGGCATGACCTGGAATCCAGGCAAGGTTGAGCCGATTCCCTCTAGCGACTCGCTGGAGTGCCAGGATGGTTTCCTCTATCAGCTTGGATGAGAAAGACTCATTAACCAAGGCTTTTAGAGCAGCTTGACTGTCTGAGCAAATCCAGATGTCTCCACCTGTACCTCGTTCAGACAGAACCCTCGCGCATTCTTTTATGGCGAGAACTTCCGCCTGGAAGACCGTGTTGTGTCTGTCAAGTCTGTAGACAAAGCTGTCCACCGACTTTTGACCACAGAACCCGGCTTCCACTCCTTCCTTCTAGCATGGCCAAATTAAATTTTCCTAGTGTTACGTAACAACTAGAGGGGGAAGGAACGGCTAAGCGAAACGTTGGTATGTTACGAGGGGGAGAGGGGAGGTGTAAAAATTGCGTTACTTATTAGGTGAAAGGCCCCTAACTGATAACTAAAGGTTAAAAAAGTTAAGAAGCATAATATTATTATGATAAACTACAATCTTATAGGTTTTTCGAAAAATACTTTTTCCATATATATCGTATAGATAACGTATAGTATAATACTACTATTAGTATTACACTTGAGATTATGAGCATTATCTCTCGTATAATAATACTTATACTATTTATAGTTAATTTCAGCAGTTTTTAAAATATTTTAATTACATATTGCCAGGTTGTCGCAAAATATATATTTTTTAAATTTTAGGGCTTAAAATTAAAATATTTCATGTATTGTGTTTAAATATAAAAGGGGCGCACCAAAGAATGCTGCACGTAGGCGCCAGACACCCCAGGAACGGGCCTGTATGTGCATATCAAAGAAATCAGTAATGTAAAAGTTGTAAGATGACAACCCAATTTTTTCTACAAAAAAATTGGGTTGCTACGATAGCTAATTTCCATCATATTAGAAAACTGTGATTCTATGGAAACGTATGTTACGCAATTAATTAAAACTGCACAGAAGTAAAAAGGTACAGGCTTTAATATTGAATCAATAATATTGACAACAATTGGATTGGTTCTTTACTTTTGGCGGGAATACCTGAAAAATTCGCGCCATAGAACCGTCAGATGGCAGAACTGGAGGAAGTGATTTCTTTGGGGCCAATAGGAAATGTAAATTTAAAGTGTTCAGTGATGCCAACTTCTAGCGTTTTGAGGTAGCCATTTGAGACATTTTTTTATGATTTGGGACGTGTCTCAAAACTAACGTTTTCCACATTGTGTTGGCGACATTTTTGGAGACATTTTAACATTGATAATAAAATTTGTTTTTAAACAAAGCAACAAAATAATTTCTAGTTTAACAATTTTAAATTAAAATTTGTTACGTTGGCAACGACGCATCCGTCAAATGTCAAACACTGAAAAATTTATACCTTGCCTATTAATTATTGACGATGCAAAATCGACTGAATTTCTTAAAAAATTTTGTATTTTATTATTATTTATTTATTTATTTTATATATTTTATTTATTTTTCTTATTGTACAATGACTGTTATATAAAAATAAATAAATATTTGTTAACAATTATTAATTATTATTGTGTAATTCTTTCTTAATAAAAAATCAATTCGGTTTAAAATTTTAAAGTTAAAAATTTTCTTTTTTAAATTTGCGACATCTGGCGATTTTTAAGTGTCAAATAATTTAGCGATTTCTAGCGACTTTTGATTCAAAAGTTTTGAAGAGCTTGGTTGAGAATTTTTACAATGGACTGTTGGCAACACTGAAAGTGGTACAAAAATTTAAGCACAAATATCCCAATAAAAGCTTGAAAGTAGCTTTTAATACAGTATGTGCTCAGTTTAATAAAAACGAGTTGTATATGGATTCTGAGGCAAGTTGACATTTAACTGTGCATGGATATCAGATGTTTGTGATAGTGTTGATCAGATGTTTTTGATAGTGACAGCAAACAATCATAAACTTATTGTAACTTATTTTGGTGATGTCAATATAAGAACAACCGTTATTAAATGTTCTTATGACTATAAAGAGAGCTATGTATGTTCCTAAGTTGACAACTAATATCCGTATTCCAAACTTTTTACAGCATAATCTATTATGTTGTTTTACCTAAACTGGCAGATATTAAAGTGTAAAACCGTTAAGTAAATAATCTTAATGGTAAAACTGTTATGTAGCACAGAAATTCCTTTTTTGATTATTAATTTAGCAAATAATACAAAATATTGTTTTAAGTTTTATCTAAGAATTATGTATGTATCTTCTATAAAAATCAGGTTAAATACATTCTTCGAGTATAATAATTATACTAGTTGATTATTAATATTTACTAACAAAATGTTAATGTTTTTTAAGCTATAGCTTATTATATTATATTATACTCGAAGAATGTATTTAACCTGATTTGCATTTTAGGCTATAGCCTAAAATTTGTATTTTCCTAGTTTCTTAGCCAGTTTTGACTTGACAGCGACGATTTGTTAATATTTAGAAAAAGTGATTACATTAGAAAAAATTGTAAATTTGTAAAAATTTGTTTATTTAATTGCCTTATGTTTAAATGTTTAATCCGAGCGCAAACCAAAGATACCGCATGCTGCGTAGACGCCACAAATGTATCAAGGAGCATTAAGTTAAATAAACTAAAATATTTAATTTTACGGGCAAATTGGTATCTATTTGCGTCTAGAAACATTTGTGAGGTTTAGGCTTCAAGCACAAATTTGGTGTGCATCCTAGCTAACAACAACAAACAATTTTCATACCTGTGTGCCTTTATATCTGTTTAAAGATTCTCCTGTGATACAATCGTGGGTCTTACTTGACTTTATGGACAAAAAATGAAATTTATATAAATATTTACCCACAAGACATTAAAACAATATTATAATTAAATAAATTGTAGCTGTGTCAACATAAATTAGTGCTCATTAGGAGTACACCATTTTTGACAAAAAGCATAACAAGCTTATTTACCAATATAAAAAAAAACTATACTTACTCGTCTATAAGGCTTCACAAGTTCTTCTGCCAATAAATGATGAATTTTAGCATCAGTTAGATCCTTCTTTGATGGATTATACTCCAATTCTTGCATGTCAATATTCCATGTGCTAGAATCTAGTTGACTAAAGCTGGAACTGTAAATAAATGTATGATTAATTTTTAAAGTAACTATAGTAACTAAGTAAACTAAATTGCATGTTTTATGACACAAGCCTAGTATTATGTAGTGTAATTTCTACTTATTCAGTAGTAGTAGTAACATTTATAAAAAAAAACATTAAAATGCTGTATTGGTAAATATTCAAATTAGCACCAATTTAAGTTTCAGGAAACAAGTAAAAATTACAAATAAATGCCATAAAGCCATCATAATTTATGCCCATTGACGGTTTCACGAGAGCGGAATATGCAATTCCAAACGTGTTTCAGACTATACTTTTTCTACGTTTCCAAAAAATACCTTAGAAAAATAATTTAATTGGAAGAAAGTGAGGTTGGATCGGTCTAAAATTTGTTAGATATTAAAAACAGGGATGTCGCCACGAGTGTTTATTCTGTCATCAGATGATAGAATATTTCATTCTGTAACACTTTACGGAATATATGTCATTCCATAGATAAAAGTGATATTAGAAGGGTCAAATTCCGTAATAGGAGTAGAAAAATACATTTTCGACAATATTTTCAAAATGTATTAATTCTAGAGGAGCATACAAGTCAGATGCACATGTTACAATGTGGGGGGTCGGGTTAAAGTGACTTAAAATTAATTTAACTTAATTTTAAGAAATTATTCTTTTTGCTTATTTATTTTCAACCATTAACAATTAGTACTTAAAATTCGACGATTGACGATTACATATCACAATAATTTTCTTTTAAATTCTTATTTTTAAAACAATGTCTTTCTATTGTGATCGTCATTGTGATCGATATTTTCTCGTTACATATCACAATTATTGTCTTTTAAATACTTATTTCGTCTTTTGAGGCGATCATTATTTGGACGAATTTTCATCTTTAAGGCCATCGTCATTTAAGAAGATCGTTTTAAGGCAATCGTCTTTTATAGGCGATCGTCATTAGACGAATTTTCGTCTTTTTTTTGACGATCTTAGACGATACTTTCCCATGGGCATATTTTCGGTGGACTAGTGGTATAGGATTCGGTAAACGGAAAAAAAAGCCCCTGGAAAAAAAAACCATGAAAAAAAAACCCCCGGAAAAAAAACCCCCGGAAAAAAACCTCTAGGAAAATAAACCTACAGGAAAAAATACCCCCTTACAATTTTTTTCGGAATTTTTTAACAATTTTTTTATATTTTTTTTTAACTTTTTTAGAATTTTTTTACAACTTTTTTTACAATTTTTAGCATTTTTGGGCATTGATTTTTGCAATTTTTTTTTATTTTTGCCAATTTCGGGGATTTTTACTCAATGGGGCGGGGGGGGGGCCAATGGGGCGGGGTCGGTAGGGTTGTGTTGTTGAGTTTGGGTTGATTTGGGTTGGTTTCGCTCATTTTTGCGGTATTTTTACAATTTTTGCATTTTTTATGTGACACTCGTCAAACCGGGATTTATTTTATGGCTTTTTTTTCCTTGGGTTTTTTTTCCTAGGGGTTTTTTTTCCTACGGGTTTTTTTTTCCGGGGGTTTTTTTTTCCGGGGGTTTTTTTTCCGTGGATTTTTTTCCAGGGGTATTATTTCCTAGATTCATAGGATTCAAACCCCTTAATTGCATTTTGAAATATACGTTTTCAAGGCAATGTATTATTATAACAAAATAAAAATATGGATACCTACACGTTAGGGTGTCCGTTATTTACCAACTTGTTTTTTTTTTCGCAGCGCTCCCTAAATTGTTAGTTTATGACTTAAAAAAAAATTATCAGACTCAGCCCTTAATATTCATTTTAAACCCACAAAGACGATACATTTTCCATTTAAATAACATGGAGTTTCGGCACGTTTTACATTCAATTTTTTTCTCCTATTTCTATAGAAAATTAAACGCTGTACAAAATAGTTTTTTTATGAATTTTTGATAAATTCACTGATTTAAAATTTATTTAAGGTTAGAGTTAAACTTATAGTAAGTTTTTAGATTTTTTTTACTTTGACAGCAAAATTATCATTATTTTTTATAAAAATTAATTGTTTATTTTTGAAAATATGTGCTTTTGTACTATGTACTATTGTGAAAATTAAGTACGATTAGTACGATTACTTATTTTACATAATCTTTTTATTTCTGTGAAATTCTAAAAAAAATAATACGATTTTATAAAATATACAATGAAAAATTCTCCTTCAGTACAGCTAATGACGTAGAAATTCTTTTAACAATTATTATTACAAAAAAATAAAATTCGTAGCTACGCATACGTTGTCTTGAGTAAGAGATGCAGACATCTACGCTACACCAATTGAGGAGTGACCTAAGACCTTTGTCTTAGGGAGTGACCATTCAAAAAGAGACATGTCCATTTTAGCGATTTTCAGAAATAAATCAAAAGCAAAAGAATTCTGTTATTTTTGACTTGTTTCTGCAAATCGCTAAAATGGACGTTTTGAATGGTCACTCCTCAATTATCAAATAGGTAAGTTAAATGTATTTTTCCACTCCCACCTTTAAAACGCCCATTATCGTACATGTTTCGATGACACTAAGTGACCTTTTAAATACACATTGACAATAGCAACATGTTTTTAGTCACGTGCTGAAGTTAGCTTAAAGTTAGTTGACAGTTGTCAAATGTCATACAATCGTTAAAATAAAGTGCCTTTCTTTTAAAATAATACTAAATGTGAAAATGTGAAATTATTTTATTATCTCAATACAACGCCAATATTTGAAAAGTTTATATGAACATACAAAAAAAAGTGCTCTTTTAGTTCCACCCTTACTTCTTAAGAAGTCCCATAAGCCAACTGAATGGCTTGTGCGGGTTAGGGGTAGGAACGGACCGCGGGCTTAAAGTCTCCTCCGAAGGACTATTACACAATAGGACAAACACAAATAAACAGCCATACCCCTGGAATACAGCATATTCCGCTCGAGGAACAATTGTTACAGAATGTACTAATATAATTTTGTAGAATTTCACAGAAATAAAAAGATTATGTAAAAAAAGTAATCGTACTAAAATTGTGTAAAACCAGATTCGATTAATGTATTTTTTTTTAATTTATCGGAATCTCTTGTCAATAATTTTTACTTATCTCTTTTCAATAATTTTTACTTTTTCAATAATACAAAAAAATCATATATTTTCAAAAATAAACAATTGATTTTCATAAAAATTATGACAATTTTGCAGTCAAAGTAAAAAAATATAAAAAATTACAATACTTTTTACTTTTTTAATAATACAATAAAAATAACATATTTTCAAAAATAAACAATTCATTTTCATAAAAAATATAATAATTTTGCAGTCAAAGTAAAAAATATATAAAAAATATTCTCTAATCGCTGTATATTAACTTGCTCAAGAGGAAAAAAATTAAATGTAAAACATGCCGAAACCCCATGTTATTTAAATGGGAAATGTATATTCTTTGTGGCAGGTTATATGAATATTAAGGGCTTATATGAGTCTGATAAAAACCTTTTTAGGTCAAAAACTAAAAATTTAGGGGGCGCTGCAAAAAATATTCAAGTTGGTAAATAACGGACACCGGGTGTCCGACACCCTAATACACGTACTTTACAAAAATAAGTAGGTACTGGAAAGCAACTTTTAGGTGGTAAAAGTAGTTAATTTATTATAGTATAAAGGTTTATTGAACAAGAGTTTTATGATTTAAAATTTTTTAAAATAACTGACGAAACATATTATAATAGGTACCGATTAAATTTTATAATTTTTTAAAGCGGCGGCACATTCAAAATGTTTTAAATAAAACATGAGATGGATTTGAAAACTTGAGATCTGATGCAAAAGCATTGCTCAGGAATGTCTCATTCGCATCGCTATTCGCGATTTCCAGTATAGTTGAATTTTTAAGTCATGAGCCCTACGGCAACAATGTCAAGCAACTGAATCAAATCAAAGGCAAAATCAGTGGCGTATCGTGGAGTTTTATTTGGGGTTCGAAATGTTGTATACGTATGCAGTCCATTATACACATGGAAAAAGGATATACACGTTTGTGCTTTGGGTTGCGAATCAAAATATGAGAATCGTATTTTGCATGGCTTAAACCATATTATGATTCGTTTTAACTTAAATCCTTTATTTGAACTTGCAAATTTATTAAAACAATAACTCTTATGTAATTATATTATTAAATGAAACGTTGTAATTTATATATATTAAATTATTGTAATTTTAAATTATATACTTTGCGTTACCCATTCTGCGTGGAGAAAATTAAGGGTACCTACCTATTCTACTACTAAAAAATTCCCTATACACAAATTTTCAAAATATTTATGTTTATTAATTTAGAAATATTAATATTTGTATAATGCACAATGGTTAAGATATTATTTTATATAATCATTTAGTGCACACACCAATAAGCTCAAATGGAGACAAAAATGGGACGTCTAATTTTTGTTTAATAGTAAAATGCAATATATTATTATTAAATTATTTAATAATTTAATGATAAATGCTCTTAACTGCATTAAAAGGATCTGTTTTCATCTATTAATATGTTAATATTTATATATATAAGATATATAATAATATATATAAGATATCTTAATCGCTATCATAGATAACAAAGCTATCATCTTCCGATTCATCGTCGTTGACGTTACCAATGTGGATTATCATTTCATGACCATGATCATTGTCCAAGATTCTTTCTTTATTGTACCATTCCTCTATAATTTTTTCAGTGTGTGCTATTTTTGACTTCCATGATTCTGGAGTAACTTTTTGTAATGCCCGTTCCCACATCCCTGTTGCGTTACCCATTCTGCGTGGAGAAAATTAAGGGTACCTACCTATTCTACTACTAAAAAATTCCCTATACTTTGCAAATTTTCAAAATATTTATGTTAATTAATTTAGAAATATTAATATTTGTATAATGCACAATGGTTAAGATATTATTTTATATAATCATTTAGTGCACACACCAATAAGCTCAAATGGAGACAAAAATGGGACGTCTAATTT